CAAAGCCACCCACTGGCAGGAGGTCGCCGACGCCGTCACCGCCCACTGCCCCAACGCCTCCCCCGCCGCCAAAACCGCCGTCCAGTGCCGCCACAAGATGGAGAAACTCCGCAAACGCTACCGCACCGAGGTCCAGCGCCTCCGCAACCTCCCCCTCCCCCGCTTCAACGCCGCCACCGCCTCCCCCTCCTCCTGGGTCCACTTCAAATCCATGGACTCCATGGAGAAAGGCCCCTCCAAACCCGACACCAACACCAACACCAACACCAACACCAACACCAACAACAGCAACAACAACAACCTCGTCTTCCTCGACAACGACAACGATGGCGGCAATGACGACGACGACGACGATCTGTACGAGGAATTCAAGAACGCGGCGGGATCCAACACCAACACGCGGAGCCTCAACAAGCTCTACAAAAACGGCCCCGTTTCGGGCCCCGGCTTCCGGATCCGGATCCCCGCCGGGGTGAGCGGCGGCGCGTCCTCCAAATTCTTCAACGCGGCGCGTGGCGGGAGCGGAAACGGAAACGGAAACGGAAACGGCCCCAGGGTGGCGAAGAGGGAGAGGGAGGACGTGGTGGCGGAGATGGTGGGCGCGATCAGGGTCCTCCGCGACGGGTTCGTTCGGATGGAGCAGATGAAGATGGAGATGGCTAGGGAGATCGAAAGCATGCGGATGGAGATGGAGATGAAGCGCACCGAGATGATCCTGGACTCGCAGCAGAGGATCGTGGAGGCTTTCGCTAGAGCCGTTTCCCACAAGAGGAGTAAGCCCAAATCCACGCCTTCCCCTTCCCACCACTAGCATTTACCCATTTACCCATTTACCTTCCTTCCTATTGCCTATTGCCTATTGCCTATTGCCTATTGCCTATTGCCTATTGCTATACTCTTCTTTTCTTTTTCCCAACTCTTTCCTTGTGTTCCATACTCGAACTTCTTCTCTGTAGCATTGTAGACTTGTAATTTTCCTCCATTGTTTCTTACTCACTTTTAATTCATCTCATTTCCTTTTTATAGCTTTTTATTCACATTTACTAATCCATTATTATATTATTCTTAATTATAGGATGAAATGTTAGAATAAGACTGAATTTAGTAACCACAAGTGCATTTCAGCTTCTTCATTTTTCTGCAAGTATCAATTATGTTCTTGCCTTGTATTTTTACAAAATTATTCACCGTGTTTCTTTATCATATTTTGGTTTTTTGTTTTACTCCATTCAACGCTGACCAAAAGTTGTGTTTTACTGAGATCGTTGTTGTGTGGTGAGGATTTGTTCATGAAAAATGAGTATCTGCTCATGCTCAAGTGAATTTTTCTTAATCTCTACTGATGTTTGCTGTGTTCCATGTTAAATTCACTGGCTAATGGCTATTGCTCTTGAAAATGTCCATGTTTTCACTCCGCCTCCACCTCTCTTAAATTCAACTTTCTTTGCTCATCTTTTTCTTTAATTACATTTATCTTACATTATAATATTTAAGTCATAAGTTTATAACATATTTTTAGATTATTTTTATAATAGAAAACTTTTATATGAAGCTCGCGAAAATACTTTGGAATTTTGCTAAACTTTTATTTTATATGAAGCATCAAACATAAAAGCTGCCTAACTTTTATTTTTAATTTTCGTTCTTTTTCTAAATTAAACATTTGTGTTTTTTTTTCTCCTAAATTAATATAAATATTAATTTTGAATAAATGAATTATAATTATTTATTACCAATAACATTTCTATATATTTTTTCACCTAGAAAAAAACAATCTTATATTTTTTTTTTCACTCAAAATATCATTTGATTAAATATTCATGTTTACTAAAGTTTGTTTTTCTTTATAATAGTGATAGATGTTTAGGTTTTTTTTTTGTTAACACTTAAAAGAGAGGCTCAAACTTGCTTCCTAAATGTAGGGACTAAGATGTTTATGGATTGAATTTTTAAAAATTTAAATAGAATTAATTTATTTTAAAAAAGTAAATTGTTTCAATTTTTTAAAAATATGGGTCAATTTATTTGAAATTAGTTTGGAACGGAGTGATGTGGTTATTCCTTTTAATTATACCTAATATGAGTCTCTTTTTTTCTTTAAAAAACAATCTAATCAAACTAGTTTTGATTAGTTTAATTTTTTTTCTTCAAAATAGATTAATTTTTTTTGTATATTCCTACCTAAACACTAGATATTAATAAAAATGAACGCTAGTACAATTTAACTGGATATGCAATTGAATACACTTTAGAGTATGTTTAGATAAATGTTTATAGAAACACTTCAAAAAATAAATAAAATTTTATAAACTAAAATTAGTTCAAGTTAAATACAAATTTTTGGATAAATTAAAATAAGAGAGTTTCTACAAATTATTTTATGTATAAACTAATTTTAATTTATATAAAAATTTATTTTAATTTTATTTTTCTTTATTAGAAATGTTCTTATAGAAGTTTATCGAGACAAACTTTTATTAACTTGTAAGCTCTTTTGATTTGTTGATATACTCATTTAAATTATGATAAGCTTATTTGAAATGCGATTTTATTTTAAGAATTTTTAAATATTTTCATAAGTTAATTAAAGTAGTTTTCGTAGTTTTTTCTCTTTCTTTTTTTTTTTTTTTCCTTTTTCTATCATCATTAATTTATTTGAAACTCTTTTTTACCATTTTTAATTTAAAATCCCTTTGCTTTTTTGAAGAGATTTTGGCCTCTTATGAAGGTGGATGTGATGAATTTACTTGTTGAGTTTCATACTAACTTGAAGATTCCAAAGGCTCTTCTATCTTATTTTGTGGCTTTGGTCCCCAAGGTTTCTTGCCCTCAAGGTATGATTGACTTTCGTCCTATCTCGTTGCTGGGGTGCTTGTATAAAATTATCTCTAAGGTATTGGCGAATAGATTGCATGATATTCTTCCATCAATCATCTCAGAGAATCAGTCTGCTTTTATTCCTGGTAGACATATGTTGGACAATGTTCTAGTTGCTTCTCAGGCTATTGATTACGCTCAGAAATATAAGAAGCCAATTTTTGTTATGAAGATTGATTATGAGAAGGCATATGACTCTGTGGAATGGGACTACCTGTTGTTCATGCTCCGAGGGTGTGGTTTTCACGAGAGATGGGTCCGATGGATGGAAGCTTGTGTATGTGGGGGAAGCCTATCAACCCTTGTGAATGGGAGTCCTACGGCAGAAGTATCTATGGGTAGGGGATTAAAGCAAGGTGATCCGTTGGCACCATCTATGTTCTTAATTGCTGCGGAAGGCCTTAGACTGTTGATGAGTAGGGCTTTAGAGATGAATCTGTTTAAGGGATTACACTTAGGCGGTGAAGGTCCACCGATTTCTCTTTTACAGTTCGCGGATGATACTCTAATTATTGGAAAAGCTACTATGCAGAATCTGTGGTGCTTAAAGGCCATCTTGCGCTGTTTCGAGTTAATTTCAGGCATGAAAATTAATTTCCACAAGAGTTGCGTGGTCAGTATTCATTCTGGGGAAGATTTCACTAACTTGGCGGCTGCTTTTGTACATTGCAAGGTGGGTCAACTACCGTTTAAGCATTTGGGCTTACCTCTTGGTGCTAATCCTAGGAAGTTGTCTACTTGGAAACCAATGCTTGATGGCTTACGAAAGCGTCTATCCTCTTGGAAGCATAAGTATTTATCAGTGACCTTAATTAATTCGGTTTTGAATGCTATGCCCATCCATTTCCTTTCATTTTTTAAAGCTCCAAACTCGGTGATTAAGGAAATTGTGGCCATCCAACGTGATTTCTTGTGGAGAGGTGTCAAGGATGGCTCGCAAATTCCTTGGGTAAAATGGGAAACGGTGTGTAAGTCAAAGGTTGAGGGTGGACTGGGAATCAAAGATGTCAAATTGTTCAATTGGGCACTACTAGGGAAATGGGTGTGGAGGTGCATGCTCTCTCCGGGTATGTTGTGGGCTAAAGTTCTTCATGATAGGTATGATCGTATTGAGTCCTTTTCAAATTGCTCAAATGTGGATAGGAGGGCCTCTTGGTGGTGGAAGGATATAGTGGGGGTGCTACAACAAGGGAATTTTTGGTTGGACGAAAAGACTGAACGTTGTATTGGTGATGACACTATGACCCGATTTTGGGAGGATAAGTGGATAGGTGGTGTGCGCTTGTTGGATGTCTTTCCTCGTTTGTACTCCTTTGCCTTGGACCCGTTGTCAGTGGTGGTAGATAATGGAATTTGGGAGGGATCTACGTGGGTGTGACATGTTAATTGGAGAAGAGAACCTTTTGTTCATGAAGGTAGGAGTGTGAATACCTTGTTGGATATGCTTCAGGGCTTGCAAGTTATCTCTTCAAGGAAAGACTATTGGAGATGGATTTATGATAAGGACGGTGTATTCTCGGTGAAAAGTGCGTACATTTGGCTACAACGCTCGGTAGGTGGAGAACTCAGATATTCTTCGGATTTTCAACTAGTTATAAAAAGTCTTTGGAAATGTAAGGCTCTGATCAAGTGCTTGGTGTTTTGTTGGCAGGTGTTATTGAATGCGTTCCCGTGCAAATCATTGTTACAAGTACGTGGGTGTGGAGTTGGATAACAATTTTTGTTCTTTTTGCTCTTTGTTTGTTGAAGACCCGCTTCATCTTTTTCTAAAGTGCCCGATGGCATTTAATACTTGGTTAGCTGTTGCTAATTGGTTGGAGGTTGCGGTGGTCTTTCCCAATTCTTTAATTTCTCTTTATTTATATTGGACGAATCTTGGTATATATAAAAAACATTCTCACTTTTTGCGGGTGGTTTGGGTTTCTATTATCTGGTCACTATGGTTTCATCGAAATGTCATTATCTTTCAGCAAGGTACTACAGATTGCAAGGAAGTGTTGGATAATATTAAATTGCGTTCATGGAAGTGGATTAATAGTTCTGTCCCTGGTTGTTCTTTTAGTTACACAAGTTGGTATTATAACCCGAGTTTGTATTTCTCATAGTTTCTTTCTAGCTTTGATTTTAATTATGTCTATGTGTCTCTTGTAACGGGTTGGAGTACCCCTTGTACTCCCTTTAATTTAAATTTCTTTTGCTTATCAAAAAAAAAAAACTTTTACTTTCTAAAAAATTTGAAGTTGAATATGTTAATTTTTTACATTTGATTTATCTTTTAAAGATAACATTTAGGAAACTTGGCTTCATATGATTTTTTTTATATATGTTTTCCACCAAATTTTTTTCCATGAATAGGTAAATTAACATTCTTGAGTTAAAAAGAATGTTTTATTATAATTAAAATATTATGTTATCTTAATTTGTATAGTTAATGCAAAAAAATATTTTGATTGTCAATTAACATTTATAAAGATTTTTCAAAACATTTATGATCTAAACAAATATAATTAATTCCAAGCATAATTCCCCAGAGTTACAATTATCGAATATAAAAAATAATAATTAAAAATAATTTTACATCACAATATAAATTATTTTTTTACAAATTTAAAGTAAGATGGTGATTGATAATGTTCAAGATTCTATCGATTTGTGTTCTATACCCAATTTAAAATGTTAAGCTAGTGAGACAAGTCCACAATATTTTCATTGCATAGTCAAGTAGGTATGAATTTGTTTAACATATATTATGTTGGGTACTTAATTAGGGTTTACACACATATTTTTGTATTGTTATAATATTATTGTCCTTTTAATGCTCCTATAAATATTTTATATTAAATTTACCTTTAATATAAAACTATTAAATAGTGTAATAGTTAGTAAAAATTATATCGATATTGTTTGAACCTCTTTATATATATATATATATTTCAAAATTTATTTTATTTTAATATAATTCACCCGTTGTTATTTTTATTTTTTTATTGACTACAAAGTTATTTATCAAAGATTGATAATAAAATATTTCTAACATTTTACCTTTTAATTCAAGGTTTAAATATGTTTTTAATTTATTAAATTTGAAATATATATATTTAGTCTCTTAAATTTAAAACTTGTATTTTTAGCTATTATAATTTCAAAAATATTAATTTTTTCCTCAAATTTAAGATTTGTGCTTTTAATTCCCAAAATATAAAAAAAATTACTATTTTAGTTCCTTTCATT